AGAGAGAGAGAGAGAGAGAGAGAGAAGGAGAGCACAGAGGGAGAGTGAGAGGGAGAAGCAGACTCCCCACTGAACAGAGAGCCTGATGTGGGACTCAATCCCAGGACCCTGAGATCATGACCTGAGCGAAGGCAGATGCTTAACTGACTGAGCCACCCTTGTGCTTACATGACATTGAATTTCATGATGCACTAAATGGACCAGAGCTTCTGTGAGCTTTAGTTTGCTTAAAGCAGAATATTACATTTGGGTAGTACTATGCATTTTGGTGGGGGTATTTATATTCTTATTTTATGGAATCCTTATCCCCCAGAACCTCATGAACCAAGCAGGACAGGTCTTGTTACTCCTCTTCCTGGTGAGTGAGTTCATGAACTCACCATGAAGTTCATGAATCAAACTTCATGGGGGGAATCAAAATCAGATGCCAAGTCTTTTTTTTTTTCCCTTTTAAAAACCTTATTAAAGTATTTTATACATAGAAAATGTGTGCATAAGTAAATAGTTTGGTAAATTTCTACAAACTGAACCCATGCATGTGATCAGCACCCAGATTAAGGGACACTCGAAAAGCCACCCTTGTATTTGCTTCCACTTACTGCCCCCTCCCCCAGTGATGTGAACCCAACTTCTAGTAGCCGAGATCTGAGCTGCTCAGCTGGGGCCAATTTTGTCCACTTTAGGAGATATTTGGCAAGGTCTGGAGACAGTTTTGATGGTCACAATTTTAAAAGTGGATTTGCTACTGGCTCTAGTGGGTAGAGACTTGGGCTGCTGCTGAGATGTCTCACTATGTGCAGGACAGCCCCCCACAACAAGGAATTACCTAGTCTGGAATGTCAGTACTACTGATTGAGAAACTTTGCCTAGATTAATTTTGCTTAAAAACCACATCTTATAACACCTGGACCAATGTCTTCATAGTCCTGCCTTTCTTGGTTGACCATGTGTTTTTTTCTAAGTAACTTTTAGGGCAGTGAAAGTGACAAGCAGCCTAGTCTAGCAAGTTTTCATGAGATGTCAATTAAAAAAAAAATCCTAAATTAAAAAAATCTATAGCAGTCCACCTTGTGGAAGTTTAAAATATTGCATTTATTATTATTATTTTTTTAAGATTTTGTTTATTTATTTATTTGACACACACAGAGAGAAAGTACAAGCAGGGGGAGCAGCAGGCAGAGGGAGAAGCATGCTGCCTGCTGAGCAGGGAGCCCGATGTGGGGCTTGATCCCAGGACTGACTGAGCCACCCAGGTGCCCCTAAAATATTGCATTTAAGTAGATTTCTAATAGGCACAGATATTTTAGCAATGGGGCAGGGCAAGAGCTCGCACCGATCAGGAATGAATTGCTCTCTGCCTATCTGTCTGCCCCTCTGCCTGTCTGTGCTTGGTCCCATCATCCCTCCCACTCCTCCCGCAAGGCAGGCAGCATCCCCGCCCTCACAGATGAGGTGTGTGGGAGTCGGGGCTGGGGTGGAAAGCTCTTCATCAACTGTATGCTGCTGCTCAGCATAAAGCCCACAACTTAAACTTGCTGCTCATGGCCTTTTGTTGTCTTCAGGGCCTTTTCCGAATTGGGGCTGGGGCCTCCAAGTTAAAGAAACTGAAAGCTGCTTTAGACTGTTCTACTTCTCACCTGGATGAGTTCTACTCTGACCCCCATGCTGTTGCAGGTGAGCTGTGAGGAGTTGCCCTCACGGGGGTGGGTCCCATCTCAGACACATCACCATTTAAAAATCCAGTGTTCATTTTCAGATTCTGATAAAATTGAAATGGTCTCCCTATATAGGTTTAATTGGACGAGCTGAAATGACAAATACAACTGAATAAGGGTACACACACACACACACACACACACACACACACACCTTTTCCTGTTTGGGGGGTTTCTTTGTTTTCCTGATTATTAAGTAAAGGTGAAGAAGGTAGCTTCTAACCCAAATATTTGGAGACCTGCTTATATTCCCTTCCCTTCTTTCTCCTTCAGAGACTAGATCTGCCTGGGAAAGATGTCCATTAGGTTACTTTGAAGCTAATTTTATTTTCTACTGACCCCTCAAATCTATTTTGCAAGGGCCAGGATTTGTTTTAGGAACACCCCATGCTCTGTAACTACTCCCGCTGATTCATGGCGTGTTTCACATATTCTCGGCATGTTGTAACTGAGATCATTTCAATTTGCAAAAATAATCCATCCTGAGATTCCCAGGCTTACCCCTTGAATGTTAACAATTTCAGGTGCTTTAAAGTCCTATTTACGGGAACTGCCTGAACCTCTGATGACTTTTAATCTGTATGAAGAATGGACACAAGTTGCAAGGTAAGTTTAAAGAACACAGAGTTTTCCAAGTTAAAGGAAATGACAGGATATTATATCCCCTTTGTGAATCATCTTACTCTCAGGGGTCATAAAATAACATTAAAATAGCACGTGTGTTAAATAATAAGTGCCTCAGTTCTTACGTGTTGGGTGAAAATATGGAGTATTATTATTAGTGTGGGAACATGAGCACTTACGCACTGGCTTCAGTTTGCATGATGTATATGGATGAAGACATGTAGTGGGACCTGTATGACTAGAGCAGCTGGTCTCAAACCCCTTTTAGAGGGAGGGAAGCCCTGTCATGGGGACAGGTGTCATATTGGCCAGCGGCAATGTGCCTGGCAAGCCATGGGGAAACTCAGTTGTGCAGTAATACAGTGTTGACAGTACTAGTAATGGTAGTTAACACTTACTGCGTGCTTAGTACCTACTAATCTTAACACCCATTACCTCCTGTCATCCATGATCAGCGACATAAAAGACAGATGTGGTTTGCAGAAACTGAGGCGGGGGAGGCACGGGGCCCAGGGAGCAGCAAGTAACTGGCAGAGTGGGAATTCAGACCCAGACCTGTCTGCCCCAAAGACTGTATCCCTGTCATTTGCTCCTTCTCCCCCATGCCCAGCTTCCATGCCAGGAGGTGTTGGCAGCCTTGTCCTAAAAGCCCCAGAGACTTCTCTCTGGCCGGCCAGCCTGCCTCCTCGTTAGCCTGCGCCTCATGGTTCTGACTCACTTCCTCCCTTAGGAGCCTAATTCTTACCCTAAGGGAGAAGGAACAGATCTCCTTTCCCATCCTACCCTTCTCCTGTCTTTAGCCACTGTCACCCGTTCCCAGCAGATGGGCAGCTGGGGCTGATCATTTAGTCTTCAGTGGCAGGTGGTTCCACCCCTATTGTTAAGGTTTTTAAAGCCAAAGTAAGGGACACCTGGGTGGCTCAGTGAAATGTCGGCCTTCAGCTCGGGTCATGATCCTGGGGTTCTGGGATTGAGCCCTGCATTGAGCTCCCAGCTCAATGGGGAGCCTGCTTCTCCTCCCTCGGCCTGCTGCTCCCCCCGCCCCCTGCCCCTGCTTGTGCTCTGTCTCTTTCTGACAAGTAAATAAATAAAATCTTTTAAAAAGAAAAATTCAGGGACATCTGGGTGGCTCAGTTGGTTAGGTGTCTGCCCCTTCTGCTCAGGTCATGATCCCGAGGTTGAGGGATCAAGTCCCACATTGGGCTCCTTGCTTGGTGTGGAGCCTGCTTCTCCCTCTGCCTGCTGCTTCCTCTGCTTGTGCTCTCTCTCTCTCTCTCTTTCTCTTTCTGACAAATAAAAAAAAAAAAAAAATATCAGAGTAAGTTCATAGTCACGGTCATATCCTTGGAACCTGCGTGTGGCCCAGCCTATTGTAAATGTCCATTTTTGTGGGACTGAATAAATGGGCCCCAACAGCAATGTCGAGTAGGAGAGCGTTCTGGGGTCTTCTCTGTTGGGTAGCCTGCTCCACTCCTCTTGTGCCTGAGTCTTCTCTCGGTTCCAAGACTCCCAACACGGTTCCCATGAAAAAATACACTTTTCGAAGCAGGTATCTGTTTCTGGGTGTATGGATCCTCCATATGTGAGAAAGGTCAGCATCCCAGTGACACAATGACTAGCCTTTAACGTATAATTACGTTTACCCGCTACCCCCCAGTCCAGATTGTTCCAGTTGTGGAGGACATTTTAGGTCCAAAGGTACATTGTGTGGGCGACTGCTAACACCCTCTCCAGCCCTCTTTTGTGTCGATGGAAGTTTGCACATGGAAACCATAGAGTGGAAGAGCTCCTGCGACTGCTTCACAACAGGACAGGGCTGCTGGGCCTGGAGCCTCTGGGCAGAGTTAAGGGCAGGAAGAGGCGTGGGGGTTTGGGTGCCTGGGAGCTCAGCCAGCACCCCTATGGCTGGGCCAGCAAGAAATCTGGGCTCCAGGAAGCTGCTCGTGGAGATAGGCACCTTCTGGGATAGAGTTTGCAGTGGTGTCTTGTCTCCTGTCTCCTGGGCGCAGATGGTTTTGCAGGTTATACCTCTAGAACCTCCCCGTCACTGGGCAGAATCAACATTCTTATCTGCAGGTGGGCAGATCAGGAGACCGAGTCTTGGCGAGGCTAACTCATGGCTCAGAGTGAAGTATTTGACTCTATATGTATTCATTTCCAAAACCGTCCTGTTTTCCAGCTGTGCTTTTTCTCTGTCATCGAGGGCATTGCTGTTCACATAGCCTGTTATTAACCCAGGGGTTGCTAATGATGTGTCCTAATGAAGGGTTATGAATAGAGGTTGCTTTTTTTTTTTTCTCAGTGTGCAGGATCAAGACAAAAAGCTTCAGGATTTGTGGAGAACATGTCAAAAGTTGCCACCACAAAATTTTGTTAACTTTAGGTATGTATGACTGGCATCCTGCAAATTAAGCCAGCAAGCCACAGTGACTTTGGAGTGAAGAAAGGTGCCATCTGCAGCAGAGGTCACTCGGTCCAAGCACACCGAGCAAGTGCTTCGGAGAGGAACTGGGGGTTGCTGGCAGTGGGATTTGATATATGTTATTGTGAAGCATATCACCGTGTGACGTATCTGCATCAGGTCTGCATTGACAGCTAAGTCCCCTGGTCAGCTTACCCCTCCAGCTACTAGGAGAAAGTTCTCATGGAAAGTTGGCTTGACTGTGTGTTGGATTTGGACCCAGCTCAGTCAGTAGAGCCCACAACTCTTTGATCTCAGGGTCATGAGCTCAAGCTGTACATTGGGTGTAGAGCTTACTTAAATAAATTACAAAATAAATAAATAAATAGATAGATAGATAGTCCAGTATGTAAAAGGCAAAAATTAATCAACAATTCTATTTTCTGCAGTTGCTTCTATATATGCTATAGAATTTATTTTGAATAGAGCATAAATCATCCTATTAGATGAAATGTCTAGAACTGGAAATTACATATTGCTTTGTGGAATAACTGTTTCTAAGAGAATTTACCGTGGAATACATTTCTAGAATTTCGTCTCCAATTTCCTTTTGACCCCGTTCTAGGGTAAGATGCACTTCCACTTTGACCTAAAATATGACTTTGAAGAAGTGTAAGGAGAAGAAGGATAAAAGGTAGCCCACAGTATTGAAAACCAAATAAAATGGTAGAGGAGGACTTGGTCCAAAATGACAGATATTCTACCGGTGAAATTTGTAGCATGTTACCTGACCTTTAATTTCAGTCCTGGGTTCTACCACTAAACTAAGATGTATGGATATATCTTAATTTATTTAATCAGCCCATTAATAGATAGTGGGGTTATTCTTAATATTTTATTTTTATAGTGCTGTGCTTGTATAGGGGAGACTGTAACTATATGATAAATTGGAAATTTTCATAAATACCACATAAGATATTTTCAAATACAGCTTCGTCTAAGTAATGTCCCTCTACTTGTATCTTTTCACGTCTACATTAAAACATATCAAGCTCACTGTTAACCAGATTGTAATTTACTGAGGGATTGATAGGGCATAAAGGAGAAATGGTGGAAAGTACACAGCAAATAGGGATTCAATCGTGGAGGTCTTCTTGTGAGCTGTTTTCCTCTTCCAAGCCCTAACGGAGTCTGTCATCTGAAACAGAGAGCACAGGACTTTGTAAGATACAGAACCTGAGCCAGACTCTGATTCGACTCCACTCTGCACTTAGCACCTGAGCAAACCAGGGCTGGAGGATGCTGTTCCTGCAAATATTTTCCTTTCTCTTTTCTCCCCCAGGTATTTAATCAAGTTCCTTGCAAAGCTTGCTCAGACCAGCGACGTCAATAAAATGACTCCCAGCAACATTGCAATTGTGTTAGGCCCTAACTTATTATGGGCCAAAACTGAAGGGTAAGTGACCTCTCCCCATATCACGGTATTTTAATCTTGTCTTTGTGCCACAGGGGGACAGACCCCGTTCTAGGGTAAGATGCACTTCCAGACTTGCGCTTATGAGCCTGGTCTCTCCATATAGCCGACATTCTCAGAACACTGTTGTGAGCTGGGTCCCGTCCCAGAGGCAGGTCATGCGTGCAGTCCTCAGAGGGCCCTGCTGTTGGGCAGGCAGGCAGCTGAATGGCCATGGCACTGGGGCTGCCATAGACGTTATAAAGCACGACGGCCACAGTGCATATCAGAGGAGCACAGCTCAGGGTGAGAAGTGCAGGGAGAGCCCTGCAGAGGAAAAGGCACTTGGGTTGTACTTGGATGAACGAATAGCTTCCTGCAGGTGCGGCCCAAATGAGCAAAGGCATTGTGTGTGTGAAAGGGCCTGGTGGTGGGGGTGGTGTCACATGGTCTTGTTTGACCCGAGCACTGGGGCCAGGAGACTGTGCCCGAGGAATATTAAGACTGAGCCAGGTTCTGAAGGGCCTTATGTATCTGGTGGAGGTTTTGGAACTTATGTTGGGTCATAAATGGTCAGGGAGGCATCACGGTTTCTTTTTTTCTTTTTTCTTTTTTTTTTTTCTTAAGATTTTATTTATTTGGGAGAGAACGAGAGAGAGCATGAGAGAAGAGCGGTTAGCGGGAGAAGCAGACTCCCTGCCAAGCAGGGAGCCTGATGTGGGACTCGATCCCAGGACTTTAGGATCACGACCTAGCGGAAGGCTCAACCAACTGAGCAACCCAGGTGCCCGGAATCAAGGTTTCTAAGCAGAAGAATGAGTTGATCAAACTGCATTTAAAAAGATAATTTGCGGGGGCGCCTAGGTGGCTCAGTGGGTTAAATCCTCTGCCTTCGGCTCAGGTCATGATCTCAGGGTCCTGGGATCGAGCCCCACATCGGGCTCTCTGCTCAGCGGGCAGCCTGCTTCCCCCCTCTCTCTGCCTGCCTCTCTGCCAACTTGTGATCTCTCTGTCAGATAAATAAATAAAATCTTTAAAAAAAAAAAAAAAAAGATAATTTGCGGACGCCTGGGCAGCTCAGTAGGTTAAGCATCTGCTTTTGGCTCAGGTCATGATCCTGGGGTCCTGGGATCAAGTCCCACGTCGGACTCCCTGCTCAGTAGGGAGTCTGCTTTTCTCTCTTTCATTGCTTCTGCCCCCTGCCTGTGTTCTCTTTTTTGTTGGCTTCGAGAAATGCAGATTGAATAGAAAGGAGGGGTCTGGGAGCCCAGGTAGAGAGCTCCTGGGAAATCACCAACATTGGTATTTACTCTGGTGGCATTATAATGACCTTTAATCCTCACAAGTAACCTTTTTGAAGTAGGTGCTTCTGTCCTCATTTTTACAGGTGAGGCCAAGGAACTTGCTTAAAGTTGCACAGCAGGGAAGTGGCGGGACCCACAGTCTGTGTCCTGAACCTTCCTCATGCTCCTGTGACCCCCATGGTTGGGCGCTCCCTAAATGTCAGGCCTTTGCAGCTTTTTGGCTTCTGTGATATTCTGACTCTGAACTGGAACATGAGCTCCTTGACACACATCGATAACGATTCTTACCTGTTTTCTTCCTTTTGAACCTTGGCATTCACACCCTCAACTTCCAAACCTGCATCTTGGGACCAGACCACAGATGTGACAGCCTTAATTAGTAGTTTGTGTAAACATGGGGCTCAGGTTCTCTGATGTAACGTCCACACCGAAACAGCGCACACTCTCATATCGCGGGCAAAGTTGTCGGTGGTGTCTTGGGTCGTATGAGATGACTACCTTGGGCAACGCTGCTCCAGTGGGAAAATGCCTGTTTGCAACCCTGTTCCAAACCAACATAAAATCAGCATTTGGACACACCATTAACCCAGCGCATGCGGACTAGGGAGTGACAGCCGAGTCAGGGCGATTTTTCCTCCTGAGGCGTCACTGCCACACTCTGAGGCCGGAGCCCCGTGGATTTAGTTTTTGCACTTGTGCATAAATATTTTCTTGTTTAAAGTAACTAAATTGGGGGCACCTGGGTGGCGCAGTCAGTTAAGTGTTGGAGTCTTGGCTTCGGCTCAGGTCACGATCTCCAGGTCCTGGGATCAAAGCCCGTGTCGGGCTCCAGCTTGGCAAGGAATCTGGTTGAGATTCTCCCTCCCTCTACCCCTCCCACTCATAAGTGCTCGCTCTCTCTCTCTCAAATAAATAAATAATCTTCAAAAAAAAAATACAAAATAATTAAATTGCTCTGACACAGCCTGCAGAAATTAGAGGCTGTCTGCGGAAAGCGGTCTAACTGTGAATGTCCTTCGCAGAACTCTGGCTGAAATGGCAGCGGCCACCTCTGTCCACGTGGTTGCAGTCATCGAGCCCATTATCCAGCATGCCGACTGGTTCTTCCCTGAAGGTAACGTAACTTTTCAACTTCACGGATTGCCCAAATAGCACAATGATGGTATAAAAAATTCTTTAAAGAAGAAAATGCTTCAGTAACCCCTTCGCGATTCCGTGACTGGCTCACGTTTATTTTTAGACCCCCTCGCGTCCATCTTTGACATCCTGGCATCCACATTATTTTGCATTTCTCTTTGTTTCACTTCACCCCGGGGGTGTCCACTCAGCCAGTGTGTACTTAGTACTCCCGGCGCCATGCCTGCTGGTGAGATATGCTGTCTGCCATCTGAGAAGAAGCAGACACTATCCCACGTGTTAGAAGGAAGGGTGGATGGCTATACAAACTCAGATGTTGGGCACAAAGAACCAGGACCGCTTTCTAGAAGGGGTGACACCAGATATGCAGTTTTCCACTTGGAAGATGGCTTTTTGCTCCTGTGGCCAGAGAGCCGGGTTTTTGTAAAGGTGGAAGATGAAGCTGGATAGGTTGATTGGAGCCGTTTTGTGAAGGTGGGAGTTGACTGTGTCAGAGAAAGAGGATTTCAGGCAATGGTGACAGGTTTTCAAACTATATTTGTTGTAGTCCTGGGATCTTCAGAGGTTCCATGAACCCCTTCGGGGACACTGCTAGGGCAAGCTTTGTGAGTCCAGACCTCCTGCCCCGTACTTTGCCCAGAGTGGCCCCGCTGTCACCTCCCGTGACACCAGGGTGAGCTCATTTCTCCTTTCCCAGGGTCTCCTCACCATTGAGAATCACGCCTCACTCATGGAGGTTCTCAATAAGTACATGACGCATCGATGAAAACTGGCATTTTGCCCAAGATTTCTTTGGGAAAACAAGTCTTAGAAAAACTGCTCTAGGCAGTATGGAGTTGCTGTTGCCTTTTATTTGCATTTTATATCAAACTGTAAATACCTTTCTTTTTTTAAGTAATCCATGCTTATTGTCCTCTTCCATATTCCATGATTTTTTTTAATTTTTAAAAATTTTTTTTTTTTTTTACAAAGAAGATAGCAGAGGAATTGTGTAACTTATATTCCGAATCATACCCTGTCCTTATCTCAATTTACCTCCTCCCCCTGGCTTGGCAAACCATTGAGAAGACGAGGGGGCAGGGGGTTGCACTTGTGAAACAGGGAGGGCTGGGGGTAATTTTTAAGCCTCGTGTGCCCATATGCTGTACACCTTATGTGCTGGCTGACCTCGTTTCATGGCGCTTCACTTTTCCACACTTCCTAGATGTTGCATTATTTTACAAGTTGAAGGTTGGTGGCAGCCCCACCTTTGCTGCCATTTTTCCAATAGCATTTGCTCATTTCATGTCTCTGTCCCATTTTGGTAATTCTTGCAGTATTTCCAACTTTTTCCATTCTCATTATATTGGTTATAGTGATCTGCGATCAGTGTTTATAACTCGTTGGAAGTTCAGATGATGGTTAGCCTTTCTTAGCAATAAAGTATTTTTTAATTAAGGTATGTGCCCTGTGTTTGTAGACCTAATGCTCTTACACATGGCAGCATAGTACACACATAACTTTGATGTGCACTGGGGGACCAGAAGAGCCATTTGACTTGCTTTATTGTGATACTCACTTTACTGGATTGTTCATTTCATCATGATATTTGCTTTATCATCACACTTTTGCGATACTCACTTCAGTGCGATACTCGCCTTATTTCAGTGGTCTGCACCACACCTGCATTGTCTCTAAGGTGTACCTTCACATTCGTTTCTTTTTCTCCTTGCAGAGGTGGAATTTAACGTATCAGAAGCATTTGTGCCTCTCGTCACCCCAAATTCCAATCACTCATCTCACACTGGAAATGACTCTGACTCAGGGACCCTCGAGAGAAAGCGACCTGCCAGCATGGCGGTCATGGAAGGGGACTTGGTGAAGAAGGAGAGGTGTGTTCATAGCTGTTCACTTTCCTCCAGCAGCAGATGTCACGTAGAAGAATTATTAAACCCTCGAGATCTGGTACTGCCTCAATGGACCTGTAGTATGAGAGTGGCCCACGGTGTACCCATGACTGTTAGGTCCAGATATTTCAGGAATTCCGCTCTAGTTCATTCCAAACATTAAACGTGACCCCCCAAGGCAGACACGTAGCTTGTCAGTACACATCTGTTCCATATGCGTCCAAGCTTCACCTGGTCTGTGATAAGCATCATACACATGCTACGAAGTCACTTAAATGTACTTGATGGGGGAAAAGGAGAGGAAAAGTGGGAGGAAATTTAAATGTTGTGGACAGATGGGAGAATAACCCACCTCGCACAGTGAGTTGTCGGATGTGGTGTTTAAAGAGACCTATTTTGGGTATAACTTGGCCCTTCGTGGAAGCCAGCCGCTGAATTTGGTGTTCAGCTGGAGGTACTTCTCTATTTGCTGACCGTGGGAGAAAAAAGACAGCTGCATTGGCATTAGTGAGAGACATCAGTCTCTCTTCTGTGCTCCACAGGCGAGTTTAGTGGGATTTTCAATGCTTAATGAGGCTGTTTATGTTTTGTGCCTGCAGAGGCCAACCATTAAGTCCATATGATGAAATGCCACTGTATTCACCTGAAAGGTCAAGTTAGGCCTTTGGAGTGACGTGCTTTGCGCACACACGGAATAACATCACCCGACACAGTTTTACAACTAAACCAGTAAACAGATTCACAACTAAATTTCATAGTTTCTTTTCATTGCCCGAACTTATAGTGAGCTTTGATTTTTTTGTTTCCTTTTGCTTTGTTGTTGTTGTTTTGTCCGGGCAAAGGCCAATACTTTATGTTCCCATCTGTCCCTCTGAAACCCACATTTCTTATGTACAGAAGTTTTACTTCTCTGAAGCCCCAGTCACACAGTAGGTCCTGCTTCCTGATGACACACGGGCCACCGCACAGTTAGCCTTCATGTATTTGAAGTCACAAAATGCAGCATCGTAGCCGTGGTTGGCATATGCGATTCTCGGTTATCTCCCGGGGTAGGTTCTTCCTGCCAACTGACCCAGCACACGCGAGCTCAGGGAGCCACACGTGTTTATTTTTCAAACTGAAAAGCCTGAGAGTTCCTCCATCACATAAGTTCACTTACGTGAAAAGTGAATCTTCCTTCTCCCCGTCTTCCAGCCACCATCTCCTTCCCAAAAGCAGTGATTTTTTTTCCCGGGATCACGAATCCTCTCAGATCTATTCTTCACATGCACCCACACTAGTGCTCGTACACCTCAGCCGAGGAGGCAGTGTGGTGTGATGTCCTGATGCCCTCGGCTGCCACCCTGTCCACCAAACACATGGAAGTGAGGGTGCCACTGGGTGGTAGGCGGGTGGGCACACTGACGTGATGTCACCCACTCCATACGAGGCCTGTCCACGGACTTTCAGCTGTTCACACCCGAACTGAGACAGGACATTGATCAGTACCAGGTCTGTTGCTTGCTCAGGTTAAAGCCAAGGCAAGTTGCTTGCCTCAGTCATAGCAATGACCATTCGTCTGGTCCTTGCTGTGTCACTGCATGGGGGCAGGTCGGGTGGCTCTTGCCGTGCGCGGGTTGTAACACATGTGGAGTGATGGACTTCTGTCTCACTAGTTGGCTTGCATGCTGTGTTGACTGTTTCTTCTTTCTGTGTAGCTTTGGTGTGAAGCTTATGGACTTCCAGGCCCACCGGCGGGGTGGCACTCTAACTAGAAAGCACATAGCCCCAGCTTTCCAGCCACCACTCCCGCCCACAGATGGCGGCACCTTGGCTCCTGCAGGCCCAGAGCCCCCTCCCCAGAGCTCTAGGGCTGAAAGCAGCGCAGGGGGTGGGACGGTCCCCTCCTCTGCGGGCACACTGGAGCAGGGGCCAAGCTCGGGCGACAGGTAAGAAGACCAGCTTCTGCTGGCAGTGGGTGCTCAATGCCCCAGCCTTCTTGCAGGTGCTGGCCTGCGGGCGTCCTCTCCATGCCCACAGAATTGCTCGGCGTGGAGTGAACCAGATCTGCCTTCCCTCTTCTGGTTGGCAAAGGATGGGAAAAAAGACTGTAAATTGCTTGCTCTCTTTCCTGTTTTCCAAAAGAAGCAACACTTGTTTGCATTCTTTATCATCCTGCTTTGGTGCTGGAAGCCAATAGGTGGCTAGCTATATTATAAACCTCTTTTCCCTGTTTGATGTATTCAGTGTTCATTTACCATTTGCTTTTGTCATCTTGTACACTAAGTAATTAACACTTGAATGTAATGAGTTACTTAGATTAGAGCATTGCTGGTATTCATTCATTCACCCAGGCACCCATCCATCCGTCCATCCTTCCGTCCATCCATCCATCTGCCCACCCATCCATCCATCCGTCCATCCTTCCCTTCATCCATTTATTCATCCATCCATCCATCCAGCCATCCATCCATCCATCCACCCATCCACCCATCCAATCAGATTTACTGAGTAACTGTGTGCTGGGTGCCGTACCAGGCACAGTTGGTGACTGAGACCTCCCCCACCCCTAGCTTTCAGTCTTATAGGCAAATTGATTGGCAAATACAAGGTAGAAAATATGATAATGGTACTTTCTTAAGAGGCCCTTTTGTTGCTTAACCTTTTGATTAGCCACCTGGAATGGGGTACAAAGTACAGCTTTAAGGAAGAGTGCCTTTGAACTTGAGATTTTCATCTAATCTGCCTGAATTCACTTCCCCACCAGAGGCCACTTTAGGTGGTATGCCAGATAGTTCAGGACGAGAAGTGCTGTAAAAGATGAGCCCCTCTACGGAGTATGTGCTCCGATTTTTCTGGTCCTTTTCTCTACTGTGGCCATCTAGAAAGCACGAAATAACCATATATAAAGTAAAATAAGTGCATGGAACAAGGATCAAGCTTCTCTGGATGGGGAGGGAGTGCCTGGTGGGGTGTGATGCCAGCTGCTTAGGAGATAAGAATCGCGTTCCAGCCTCACAGCCGAATTCAGGTTGCCGTATATATTCCTGAGCTCCTTTTTACTCACAGAATTAGCTGAAGTTCACATTTTGGTTAAAAATCACGAAGGCTTCCACCTCCCCAGGCTTCCTAGGCACATCCTGAGCTCCATGTTGTCTTGTCGAAACTGCCGCTCCACACACGTCTTTGTTTCAGCTCTAATTTTTTTGTTTGAGGGGGGAAAAAAAGTATTTGCAGACTCAAACATTTTTCATTTACCTTTAGTCTTCGGTTTGCTTAATCAAGGCTAAATGCATTAAGACAATAACTAGAACGCCCTGCAGAAGGACAAATGGAATGTCAGTCGTCAATTTGCTTTTGTTTTTTGTGCCCTGTTGGGTATTTTTGTGTACCCTTCCCGAATGGCGTTCACTCTTTGGTGACCCTGACAAAATGCAGCTGTAAAGCTTAGTGTATGAAGTTCTGAACTGGGAATTGGCCCGTGTTCTGATCTCTGCCCACCCTGCTGCTAACCAGCTCCGGGCTGGGAGCCATCACTGAGTCTCAAGGGTTACTCTTTCCTAGAGTGCAAATGATTGATAATAACCAAGCACTTTATAATTTAGACTGTTGGGATCTTGCCACAGCTTTGCTTTGTTTTGTACACTGTGTGCGTCATATCTTGTTCTTTGGAAGTCCAGAAGCCCTTTCATGTTTTTTTTTTTAATACTGCCCAATTTAAGTACAAGCAAACTAGAAATTCCTCGTTGGCCTCTATCAAATGGCGTGTCTCGTGATATTCGAATAGCTGAATAGCTAGAAGACAATTGAGGCAGTGAATGTCCTAAAATATTTAGCTCTCTGTGGCCCCAAATAAACAGTGGCTTTGCAGACCCAGTGCAAATTATTGAAAATTCCTGATGCCCTCCTTGCCTGTGGAGGTATGAACTCTGCACTTGATCTTAGCCAAAAGGCCGAGAAGCGATAGAGGTATGAACTCTGGTGGAATCTAGTGTCTTGATAGCGTGCTGACTGGCTTTCGCAGGGAGTACCTGACACCTAACGTGACTTCTGCTCTCCGCAGTCCACCAAAACCCAAGGACCCCGCACCTGTCCCTGCCCCGGCGAGAAACAGCAGTCAGATGGCCACTGGCCAGAACCAGGCCCAGACCACGGCTGGCTCCCATCAGCTCTCTGTCGGCCCAGGGCACAATTCCGCAGGCCCTAGCCCGCACACTCTGCGCCGAGGTAAGTAGCCACCTTTACTCCTTCCCCTTACGGAGGGACATGCAGACTTCCTTGGGTTAGCGCAGGGATTCACGGTGCAAGGCTTTCCGAGAGAGCATCTCCGTGTCTGTCACAAAATGGCAAGGAGAGGGGCACCTGGCTGGATTCATCGGAGGAACACATGACTCTTGATCTTGGAGTCTCAAGTTCAAGCCCCCCATTGGGTGTAGAGATTACTTTAAAAAAAAAAATGGCAAGCAGAAAAATCAGTCATTGAAGAGCAAAATCATTAAAAAGAAATGAACTAATAGCTGAAAGGCAGGCATTTAGGAATATGTTTAAACCACAAAGCCTAACAAACAAAAAGTTGTTTCTTACAAACAATGCTCCCAATTTTCCAGGCATCTGGTATTCCAACCCCGCCCTCTGCTTGGAAACCACCCCAGCCTCTGTCTAGCCAGGTTCTGCGGATCTGCCAGCCACTGTAACCTCTAGATTGAGGTCAGGGCTTTCTGGGTCCTGAGTGCTGTGTGATCTGAATCGTTCCCATCCATCTCCTTACCGTCCTCTGCTCAGCAGTTAGGGAGGTTGTGCTAAAACATGGCAGATCGTGTCCTCTCTCTGTTGAAACTCTCCCTCCAGTGGCTTCCGTGCAGACCTCCCCCGTGTGTGGTGGGACCTGCTTTTGGGCCCTGCACTTATCACACCCCTCTCTCCCCAAGCTTCAGCATGGCTGGTCTCTTCCTTTTCCTTTGTTTAAGTTTGTCAGAGAGAGAAAGCACAAGCAGAGGGAGTGACAGGCAAAGGGAGAGGGAGAAGCAGGCTCCCCGCTGAGCCGGGAGCCCAATGCAGGACTCAGTCCCAGGACCCCAGGATCATGACCTGAGCTGAAAGCATATGCTTAACCACCGGGCGCCCCTCTTATGTTTAAGTCTTTAATCCATTTTGAGTCGACTCTTATTTATGGTGTAAGATAAGGGTCCAGTTTTATTCTTTTGCCTGTGGATATCCACTTTCCCCAACACCACTTGTTGAAGAAACCATCCTTTCCTTATTGTGTATCCTCAGTGCCCTGTCCAAGATCAGCTGACTGCATATGCCTGGACTGATTTCTGGGCTCTCTACTCTGTTCCACACGTGGCTCCTTAGCATTCAGGTCACAGCTCAGAGATTAGCCACCCTGTGAGCCCTCCCTGTTGTCCCACTCTGACTAAAGCCCAGCCCCATCTCCGTGACACCGAGTCTTCTTCTGTCACATCACTCTCTTTCAGGGCATTTTTCCCTTGATCTGAAATTTTTAAATTTAACTTTTTACCTTGTTGCTTTGTCTTGGACAAGGTCCACCATTCTCCCATGGCCCTGGCACCCCCTGCCTCCTCTCCTCATTCCCTTGGCACCCTTTCATGCCAGGAATGGTCTTTTATTCAGTGTGAATTTACAGTTAATACCACTCAGAATAGAAAGCTAGACATTTTTCTTTGTAAGTTGCTTATGGTAACCAGAGTATGGCTACTATTCCAAAGAGTGCTTTCTTCATCGGCTGCATAGTTATTTCTGTGGGAAAAGGTCTTCCAGGGTTCAGGGTCAAAAGTTCTAGGCCAGCAGAGCAGAGCAGACTTTATACCCTTTTCATTCTTGAATTCTGAGCCCTATAAGCAGAGAGCCAGCCAGTGCAGGAAGGAGGAAGGGGCTGAAAAAGAGTCCAAGGAGTCCATAGAACATGGTTGTGAGCCTCTGTTCTGCCAGTTACTGGCTGTGTGATCTTTTGCAAATATTTGACTTCTCTGAACCTCAGTTTTCTCTACCGTGATATGGGTATAACAATGCCCGTCTTGCAGGGAGCTAATGGGACTTAAGTGAGACTTAAATGGGACTTCAGTTTATGTAAGGGGCCTAATTTGGTACTAGTGATGAGGGGTAAGTGATGCTCCTTAATTTCCCTATCGCTTTTTGGGAAGATTAGTAGGATCTCAGTATAATTTGAAAAATGCTAACGTCTCCCCTTTCCGCTCATCTCTCCCAGCCCAAAACCAGGTCTCCATGTTTTTTATTTCACCCTCCTCAGTACCAAATTCTGCCCCCTTGCCCCCTTGCCCCCTTGCCCCCTTAGTGATGCCGATCTCAGCTGGTATGGAGAGGGTAGTGGTTTGCTTCATCCCTCCTTAGAGAAATCTAGCTAAGACAACTCTTCAGACTTACTTGTACTTCTATCCAGAGCATACCTATTAATTCAAATGATTCCAGAATTGGTAGAATTTCTGCTATTAAAAAAAAAAAATTAAGCCCTCTAGAAGCCAGCTTAAGGCAAGGGGCCATGGTGCATGTATAGGCAGATCAGTCATGCTTGGGGGTCACCCTCTTCTAGCTCCTCTTGCTTCTCCCCGATTCTTGGGGAGGCAGGACACTGACAAGTGGGCAGCTCAGTGGCCTTAGAGTATCGATTCCATCTAGGGAGGTGGCCCCCTTCACTTAGTTCTCTTCGTATTAAACTTTTCAAATGGCAGGCCTTGGGGTCCCTGGCTGGTTCCATCAGCAGAGCATACAACTCTTGATCTCAGAGTTGTGAGTTCAAGCCCCACATTGGGTGTAGAGATTACTAAAAATTTTTAGAATAAAAAAATAAACAATGGGTCTTTAAAGATCTAAAGGTCAGTATGTATATAAGGTACTTTTTTTTTTTTTTGAACCGTAAACCTCTTGTTTGAGCAAATTTTAGATTTCCAGAGAAGTTGCAGAGGCAGTGCTGGTTGTTCCCAAATGCCCCTTACCCACTTCTCCGACTGTTAATGACCCAGGTCCCCAAGGTGCATTTATCACCGCCCAGAAACCAGCCCTCCTGCTTTACTATGGACAAAACTCCATATTTTGTTCGGATTTCACCAGCTGTTCCACCAGGGGCCATGTTCTGTCCCAGGCCCACTCCCATCCAGGAGGCCACAGTGCATGCAGCCGCCTCTTCTCCTGGGTCTCCTCTGGGCTGTGACAGTTTCTGTCCTCCCTTGTGTTTTCGTGGCCTTGACAGCTTTTAGGGAGGGCCAGTCAGGCATTTTGAAGGACGTCCTCAATTCACGTTTGTCAGCAGCTGTTCTCCTGGTTAGACTGGGCCGAGGGCCTTGGAGGAGGCAGACCACAGAGGTGAATGCCCTCCTGCTCACATCCTTCCACTGGGTTGTGAGCTGTTGTGAGATTCACCTGATAAAGGCGGTGCTGGCTTTACTCACTGAAAGATGTTTTCCCCCTTTGTTCAGCTGTTAAAAAACCTGCTCCTGCACCCCCGAAACCAGGAAACCCACCTCCTGGCCATCCTGGGGGCCAGAGTTCTCCAGGAACATCTCAGCACCTACCCAGCCTGTCACCAAAGCCAACCACGCGAAGCCCTTCTCCTCCCGCCCAGCATGTGGGCCAGGCCCCTGGCCAACCGTGCACCACCTCGCAGCCTTCTGCGCTCCGGAGGTACTCGAGCAGCCTGTCCCCGATACAAGCTCCCAATCACCCACCACCGCAGCCCCCGACGCAGGCCACACTGCTGGGGCACAGCAAACCGAGTAGCCAAGGCCCGCCCGCTCCCGTGGCTTTGCCCAGTGAGTCTGGACTTGAGCAGCCGCTTCACACCCCTCCCCAGACTCCAACGCCCCCCAGTACTCCACCTTTAGGAAAACAGAACCCCAGCCTGCCAGCTTCTCAGACCCAGGCGGTGAGTAATCCCGAGATGGCACAGCCACACACCGGAACCTTACCAAGACCGAGACCAGTACCAAAGCCGAGGAATCGACCCAGCATGCCTCCACCCCCACATCCTCCTGGTGCCCACTCAGCTGGGGATGGCACCCTCACCAACGCTGCTCCCACTGCCTCCAAAATAGTCACGGGTAAGTGAGAAATCAGCTCAGACCTTTCCCCCTTCCACACTACATTGTATCCAGACTCTCCCCTTTCGTTTAGGCCTTGTTTTTCAGCGGGGGGCAGCAAACTATACCCATTGGCCAGATCCAGCCCTTAGCCCATTTTTGTAAATAAAGTTTTATTGGGACAGAGCCACTCTAATTTGTTAACAAACTGCCTTTGGCTGCTTTTGTGCTAATGTAGCGGTGGTATAGTCCTTTCAGAGAGTATTTGGCTCACAGAGCCTGAAAATATTTGATACCTGGCCCTTGAAGTTGGCTGGCCTCTGACTTACAGGATTCATATGTGTTGAAGACCTGTCTACATTTACCTTTTTCTAAGTATAATGACTTAATCCAGGTGGAAGGTATTGTACAACATGAGCATGAAATTCATTTCTTAGCGAATTCCCCATTAAGATACTTACCTTCCTTCTAAAGCTAAAAATGTTCATAGTAAATGAAACATTTCAGATATAACTTTAAAAAACATGATCTGTGCCCATTTGGATGCTCCAGGAAGGGAGGTCTTGGGCGTGAGCACATCAGAGCACCAGTCCTGAGTGTTGAGGGAGGGAAGGATCAAGAATTTCCCATAATTCCGTGGAAACCTTTTTCCGGTAGTGATGATTGTATACATTTCTGTGGGCTACCTAATGGGGTGTGTGTATATATATATATATATGTATTTTTTTTTTTACGGGCAGTCTAGAACATGATCATTTTATTTAATTATGATTTCTTTTAAAAGTTCCACCCTTAGGGCTCTAATACACTATTTGATTTAAGGATGGGGTGGATGGGGGGTTTTTTAATGTGTTTTTTTTTAAATGGCAATTAGGAGCTTTGAATCACAACAGCTTAGTTTTAAATTTCCTACGTGAAGCTAGTTTTAGAGAAGAAGTTGAAATATACCTCTTGGCTGACCAGCTGTACTACACATCTCTGCTGAAACGAGCCAATGGTATCCCCCAGACTGGTACCCCAAATGATGAGGGTTAACCAATTAGTCTATCTTTTGCTAACCCTATTTCTTTTTCAGGAATATACTGCATAAATGCACTATTATGAATGGTTAATAATTTCTGATGATACTCCAGCTTTTCCTTTTGAAAAACAAAGCCATATTGGTGTGTTTGTTTGTTTGTTTCCAAATAGATGCCCTCACAGGTGGGGAAGGTTCCCAGGACTAAGGTCTGTAACCACCCCCCAAGCAGCTCGCTCCACAGCTCCAACTGCTCCTGCTTAGCCATGTTTTGCAAATGTGCTTGTGACTCTGTGCTCAGGAGCAGCTCTTTGAGGCCCCTGCCACCGTTCTGTAGCGTTAGACATTCCTTACGCTGAGCTGCTGTGCTCGCAGTTCAAGAGGTAGATGTCCGTAGATTGAGAACCCAATTTCAAGCAACTCTCGTAAGATATGAGGAGTGTCTTCTTTCTTGTTGGTAAGCCTTTCCTAAAGGGTCCTGCTCTTCTCAGGGATTTACCTCTCATCGATTGGCTCATCACTTCCAATCAAAGAGGACTCGGGTGCAGTCAGCCCAGAAAATTGTGTTCCCTGTGTCTTGAGCTTTAATTTTTTTAATTGTGTATCTTAAGTGCAAGTTAACTGCATGGAGCTTCTTAATTTGATGTTTGAAATTCTGAGGACCAAAAAAAAATCCAAAAACCTTCCTACAAAGATCCCACTAAATTCCTTTGCATTCCAGCATGCTTACATTTTGCTTTCTTAAACCATATGAGCTTTTCCAAGGGCACTGTGAGGCTCATCTAAATCCTGCCTTTGGGTCCGCATTTGGACACCATAAGGCTCTCTTTAAGGGTACCGTTGCTCTCATCGGCTGAGCTGAGCCTTAAACCTATGGTGGGCTACTTCGGCAGAGTATTCACAGCTTTGGTCTGAGTAAGACTTTCTGGAGAAACCAGAAAGGGAAACTAGAGTGCGACCTTTAGGACATGGAGGAGGGCACGGGGGTGAGTCCCCCTCCCCACTCCCTATAACCCAGAGAAGCCTGGGGTTGCCTGACAGGGTGTGGAAGTCATGTATAAGAGTGAAGTGACTAAGCCCTAATCAACATGTCAGTACTTGGGACACACCAAACTTCTCCCCTCCCCCTAGATCTTTCCCTCTTTTTGACAGAAAACTACAAACCAGAATCATGTCTTTTGTTTAATACCATTCTCAGCTCAGGTGTATTTCTTCCAGAAAGCCATCTTACTGATCCAGTACAACCCCATAAGGCTCTGTACTTTATAATTGTCAGGTCAGGGAAATTTTATATGAAAACTACTTTTCCTTAAGATATTAGCGAAGTATTTAAAAACCAATCTATGTTATGAACTCTCCTACACTCAAGAAATTCCAGGTCACCACAATGACCTCTGTGTTGCAGAATTAACTTTCAATTGCTTAAAATCGCCTGGACTGCCCCTGGGAACACACAGAAGGTCAGCATTTAGGGCTCATGAATCCTCTATTATTAACCATTCCTGGATACGGCCATTGGGTATTTCAACATAACTTCTGAGGAAGGTGGTTCTTTATGACGACATCATGTTTTTACATGGAAAACCATGGACAGATTCCTAGAAACAGGTTATTTGTTTAGAGCAATTAATCCCCCAAAAGTAGAATTAAGGCCCGGGGCTTAAGATAAACTCTTGGGGGTGACTGTTGCTGCCAGGCACCTCTGGCAGCCAACCTGGGCCAGCTCAGCTACAGCCTGGGGAGATCGGCGGGACTCTGATGTCACCGGAACCTCTTCTTGGTCCTTACTGTAGAAAACACGACCAGGCTTTTAGCTGTGAAAGTAAGAGAGTTTACATCTTGCTGTTTTTAAAGTAATAGATTCTAGCCAAGCGTGTTCTAATTTCAACATTTTATTAAATAATTTAGATGTATGACCTGCCATATTCAGTAAGAACTGAAATTGGAATATTTAATGGTAAGGAAAAGGCACCTGATTGGCCAAAGCATTTGTGCTACTTGATGATCATGTTTGTGCACTAATGCCTGTTACTAACCAGGCACGCTCCCCCTGCCTGCTTGTATCCCTACTAATAGTGCATGTACTAATGGAGGCTGGCTTTGTTCATGCTTGCTGTCAATCACCCTGAGTACAAAGCGTGTCCACAGCGTGTGCCAGGTGCTCACAGGGCTGACCCTGTTACTTCTCTCACTCCTATTCTTGTCTATACTGGGCAGGCTTGAGGTGTAATAGAAAGAGGAGCTTGTAGACTCAGATGTGCCTGAATTAGAATGGCAGCTCTGTGTAACGTCAGACAAGGCACGACCTAGCTGATGAGTAAGAGGGTGACACTTGTGAGAATTTCTCCTAAAGGGGTGAAATCAGATAAAATAAGAGAACATCTTTCAGTTCTTAATTTACACGGAGTCTTAAGTAAACGGTAGCCATTTATGATCATTTTTATCTTGGGAAATAAATAGACGCTCAGAGTTATATATTAGATTCATATGTCAATGCTTTAAAAATTCATATGCCCAGACACAGCCTTCTAGGGCCCAGTCATCCCTATTTAGATTCTGATGCACTGCTTGGTTTTCCCAGTTCTTCTGTGGGTTAAAAAGACAATGCTCTGGAGCAAAAGACATTTCTTAATATTTTGTGATATTCCGTGAGTCTGAGAATATCCACGAGGCCCCCATCCTCTGCACAATGTTACGCCGTATTGCCCTTGGGAGCATCCTTAAACAAACTCAACACTTCACTAGTTCTCACGGTGTTCTTTTTTTAAAACTAACCTCTTTTTATATCCTGAAAGACATGCATTAAAAAAACTAGCCACGGATATTGAAGGAGATTTGGAAACTAGAAATAAGAAGGCACTATTTGTTTCTCTAGTTTTTTTTTTTCCCCCTAGAAGTCCAGGGAGTGTATGATTCTAACTATTTTGCATGTATAGATTTTGATCTTGCATTTTTTAATTTCACCTTACATTCTATGCTCCTTTCCATGTTCTGATGGAGTTTTGACAACCCATCTTTTCCAATGAATATCTAACATTAAGCAGATGGATTTTGGCTCAGAGTTGGACATTTCAGTGGCTTCTACTTGCAGTTTAATTTTAATAACTAAACATCAGAATCATGTCAAGGTAAATATTAGAATCTTTGTAAAATAACCTTTTCCCCCTTTTTGCTACAATGAACCAGACTGTTGAAGACTCCTGCGTTATATCCTCAGAAGCCGTCTGCTCTGTCAGGCGCACAAAGTCCCGTGGGGCGGAGGGAGAGCACTATGCCAATGAAAACCCAGGCTCCAGGGTCCAGCCCATCTGGCTCTGATCCTGTGTGAGGAGCTGAGTCTCTCAGGGTCCCCCTTTCTTACCTCTACACTGGTTATACTAGTGCTGCTTTGGGGTCATTTCACAGAGGGCCAGTGAGCTGACAGGATGCTGTGTGCGTAGCCCCTGAGACCATGTCTGGTGTGTGGTAGCTGCTCAGTGGTGCCACCGTCGTGATGAAGAGTAGTCTCCTTCTGAAAGCTAGCTCTGCACACATGCTGATTCTTCCTACTTCCTGTGTGTGAACAGATTTGCTGTCTTCTTTTTAAACATGGTTCAGTCAGCCTGGCTCGCTCAGTGGGTAGAGCTGGTAACTCTTGATCTCAGGGTCATGAGTTCAGGGCATGGAACCTACTTAAAACTTTATTTTTTAAGATTTTATTCATTTGAGGGATGCCTGGGTGGTTCAGTGGGTTAAGCCGCTGCCTTCGGCTCAGGTCATGATCTCAGAGTCCTGGGATCGAGCCCCGCATCGGGCTCTCTGCTCAGCAGGGAGCGTGCTTCCTCCTCTCTCTGCCTGCCTCTCTGCCTGCTTGTGATCTCTCTGTCAAATAAATAAATAAAATCTTTAAAAAAAAAAAGATTTTATTCATTTGACAGAGAGAGAGAGAGAGAGCGACCATAAGTAGGCAGAGAGGCTGGCAGAGAGAGAGAGAGGGAAGCAGACTCCCTGCTGAGCAGAGAGCCCAATGTGGGGCTTGATCCCAGGACCCTGAGATCATGACTGGAGCTGAAGGCAGAGGCTTAAGCCACTAAGCCACCCAGGTGCCCCAAAACTTCAAAATTATAATAAAATCATGAATAAAAATAAACTCAGCTGCCTTTAAAAAAAAAAAGAATGGTTCGTGTAAGGGGCAGGGGGGTAGGGCTGGGAAATAATGTATCTGCCAACCTCAGGCAAACCAGGGAAGCAGGCAGGAGGCCTTATGCTCCCACCACACATTTTTCCCCCCTGTGTAGAATTTGCGTGTATTCATCATAAATAGAGAATTTCAGGAAAGTACAAATCCAGAAATTATATGCAATGGAAAGGAAGGAAGGAAAAGGATCTGTCCTCTGAAAAGGGTCTGTGTCTGATTGGTGTTGGTTTGCATGGAAATCCACATATTAACAAGTAGAAATCTAATCAGCACGTCTAGAACCTTCGCATCACGCCTCCCCCACCAGGCATGGCAGTTCCATAGTCTCTGATAAACTCTTTGGGCTAAATAGAGACACTGACTGGTTGCACCATCTGTCTTGTTGGGTTGGGGATTGAATTTGCCATGGATTTCTTGTACCAGTCTTGTCTTGGAGACATGACTACTCTGCCTGAGGCTGTAGGAGGGGAGGATTGGAAAGATGGTTGAGCTGGAGGGCTCTTCGTCATTTACCCATCCAACTGGCCAGCCACAACATTTATTGAGATTCAGATATTAAGCAGTTACTGTTTTAGGCGCTGGGGATGCCCTGAGCTAGACAGACACAGTCCCTGCTCTTCGTGACTTCCTTTCTGCTGAGGTCAAGTCTGAGACATTGGGATCCCTGTTCTGTGCACACAGCCCACCCTTCCCTTGACTGTACCACTGGACACTGCAACTCAGCACGGTTCAGTTTGTTTTACCATTATCGTAAGACTGAAATTGTCAAGTGCATTCAGCACTTGAATCCTCTCATGCCTTGGCACCTCCACACATCTAGAAATTTCTCTTGAGTTGTGGTGCACAGGAAACCTGAAGAGCTGGGGCCGCCAACCCAGGAGCCCTTGTGAGAAAAGGTAGTAGATAGATCTTGCAGCTCAGAACTGTAGGGTTGTGCACGAGCAGGAAACAGTCTCAAAGCAGTGAGCCCCCCGCCCCCGCCACCGAATGCACATGCGTGTGCCCCCAGCCTGCATGGAGAAGGAACAAGTGAAAGAGAAATTATGAGTAATTCTTAAACATATTGGGGAGACTCCCAGCACGCTCTAGCCCAGCAACGTGAAACTACAGCAAATCTGAACCTCTCCCTTCTCTCCTGCACCTGTCCTAAAACCTCTAACCAGGCCCTCACAGTTTGCTCAAACACAAACCTACTGGAGAAACAAATGATTCTGTCTTGATCAGGGGCCATCTCCCCCATTGAACCCCCAACTTCATTAAAGCTGGGTCTGGCTTGTTCACTGTTGTGCTGTCTCAGGTAGACACTCAGTAATTACTTATTCATGAATGAATGCATCCGAGCCTCTCCGGCCTCAGGAGGAGGCCATCCATGACAGGTAAAGATGTCTCTTGTGGGTTTTGAGGAGTGAGGGACTGACGGCTTGAGGATTCCAGTTGTCCTCTCGCTAGAGGAATTCCCGCCAACATAAGACATGAAAAAGAAGCTGGAGTCTAAGTATTAGGAAAAGAGAAAATCGGTGTTTGTGAGAGGCTGGTGATCTACCTCAGTGATTGTCACCCAGGGGTTGACAGGGGACATCTGGCCATGTCTGGAGACACCTTTGTCACAGTGAGGGTGAGAGGGCTGGCTGCCACTGACATCTCATGCATGAAGGGCAGGACAGCTGCCATACATCCCACAGGGCACAGGACAGCCCCCCAGCCCCGACTGACCCAGCCCAAAATGTCACTGGCGCTGAGTTGGCATAGCATGAATAACAGGAGGACGGACTCCTGGGCCCCAGAGGAGGGGGCTCTGTCCAGTGAGGCGCACCTATCACAGCAGCCCTGATTTGTGAAGAGGTTTTAGCTACCGTGTGAGAGGCTTGGTGCAAAGAATGAGGTTTCCTCTCATCGGGCAGAACGAGCGCCCTGTCTGAGGGCTCCTGGGAAGGGCCACCAGAACCAGGAGGTAGGGCTGTGCCACTCAGCTGCTCTGGGGTCTGAGAGGCTTGACTCAACTTCCAGGGGCTGACGGTGCCTGTAGTGAGCGAAAGTGTGTGTGCACGGGCTGACTCGGACTGTCCAGCTTCTCTTCTAGAGCGCCGTGGGGCGGCCTCGTGAGCATTACCATACGCTGACAGCATGTCTCCTGTTTTTGTCCAGACACCAGTTCTAGAGTTTCAGAGCCGCTTCGCAGCACCTTTCCTGACATGCATTCAGACTCAGCCAGCAAAGACCTGCCCGGACGCATTCTGTTGGATATAGACAACGATACAGAAAGCACCGCCCTGTGAAGAAAGCCCCGCCCCCTTCCCCGCCCCCTTCCACTGTGGAGCCCGGAACTGGGCAGGTGCATGGTTCTCTCCGCAGACGAAACAGTGAAGAGCTTTCAGTGAAGGGAAAAAGAAGGTCTGGCATGCAGGCCTTTGCCTTCCCACAGCCTCAGGAGAAGGTGGAGGCTGACACTTTAAGCTGAATGATCTGTGTCTTAGAAGAAGTTGGCTTTCTTTACACGGGAAAGAAATCATGCCAAAAAATTTTTTTAAAAAATTTTAAAAAGAAAAAAAAGAAAAAAGAAGTACCTAGAATGGAAGGAGTATTACTGCCGAGACACGCATAGGAAGCTTTGTCACTGCCGTTGAGGCAGGTGGCACAAAAGGCAATTTGGAATGAAGAAGAAGTAGTGCGTGAACAATCTATTTAATAAAATATATGCATTATGCAAATCGCCTACTTCCTGCTACTTGGACTTTCATTCTTATATATTAGGAAGGAGGTTCTTCTCCTTCACCATTGCTGCAGAATCGTTTTATATGAAGTATGGTCGTCCCTCCCCGACCCCCTCCAAACCGTGAGCATTGATGGTGACTGCTGGATCCGTCACCTCAGCAAGCTGGATGTGACTTGTGCCTTGTTGGATCGCCAGAATGTAGAAGGAAATGTACTGTTCTTTTTTTTTTAATTTTAAACAGTGTAATTGCTACTTGATAAGGACCCGAACATTATTCTAGTTTCATGTTTAATTTGAATTAAATATATTCTGTGGTTTATATGAAAACTTTATAATTCTCGGAAGCAAAACTGTGGCTTGTGTGTGTGTGTGTGTATGTGCACACGCGCGCATGTTGTCACCTCACGAAACAGAATTTGGCTGAACATCAAAGATCCCTGTGTCCCCAAAGTGCTTCTTGCACTTAATAATGTCATTGAAAATATATACCTATAAACCCATTTCCCCCTGTATCTTAAATTTATCTTTGCTTAAGGCTGACTCTCTTCCTCCTCAGATGCCATCCCCCTGCCCCAGGCTGTAGATCGGGCTCTCTGTAGAGACCAAGGGTGTGGTGTCTGTTGCTCATTGGCCTTGAGCCCCATCTCCAGGGAGGCCACTGCCCATAGTCAGGCAACTCTGTGGCACCTTGGACGTGCTCCCTCTACAGCTCTGGTGCTCAGGAGGAAAGCAAGATGCCATGCTTGCCAAGGAGATGGTGTGGATGCCTGGGGACCAGGAAGGTCCGTGCTGGACATTCTCCCCAGAGTGGCACACATGTTTTGTTATTGCTGGCTCCAAAACACAACACAGACCCTCCCTATTTAAAGAATGTTTCAGTTTTCAATCTCCTTCATTTATTAAAATCTCCCAACCCCAACAGCTCTAATCTAAAGAAAAATGATAATCATTTGATTTTTGTCTGCGTGTCAAAGGTAAATACCAAACCAAGGCTACTGCCCATCTTCTTGAATGGGCGAGGCCCAGAGTGGGGCATGGAGGTCAGCTTGTGTTCAGATCTGTAACCGCATCATGATGGAAGCATCTCCAAGGTCCCACAGAGAGGTGATTACCCCTGCTGCTGGGACAGTCACCATCTCACTGTCCCATTCTGGCACAAACACCATCAGAGAGGAGAGGTTTTATAATGTAAACTCTAAGTGGCCATCCCTGGTCATCAGGAAGGTGTTGATGTCCAGAAAGTTGCTGCTGAGTGTCTGGTCCCCCAGAGCTTTCCTCACTGTGACACTTGCTTCTCATTATGATATCTGGGAAGTAGACCAGAGGGGGTGCCCTAGAATCTTGTGCTTTAAGAAAATCGGAGAAAACTGTGTGTACTTCCCAAGTGCTGGCATTGACTGTTTCTCTGCTTAATTCCCACAAGGCTGCTTCCCCTCAAACAAGTGGCCAGAAGGATGGGCAATTCCACAGCAAATCTCTACTGGCCGAGGAGCTGTGGGGCTTTGGACTTGAAGAGCGGCCAGCCTTGTTCCATGCAGTCCCAGCCGTCCTCCTTTCTCCATTCTGGGCTCTGCTGGGGTCTGCCAGAATGATCTGCACAGGCTGTGTCTGCCTTGTGCACAGCTAAGATCAAGGGCAGGCCCACAGAGCCAACCCTGAATGCCATCTTTGGGGTGGCCCTGCACCTTGGCCCATGATTCCAGTCCTGGGATAAAGCCACTCTTTCGCCCAAAGTCAGCAGGAGTGCTAGGCGAGTGGTGGCCTGTGGGTCCCATTCCCTGTACTTTGAAGGTGAGCCGGGCAAGTTCAAATGCTAGCGCGCTCGGCCCTGGTGAGGGGTCTGCTGCCAGGCTGGGAGGTCTAGTGGGTCTCTTTGCTTGTTTATCCCTCTGAATTCCCCTTTGGTATTGCATGATAGACAAGAAGACTGAACAGCCTTTGAGAAGAGGCAGCTTTGACACTTTTCTCCCCCACCTTCTACCCCCCATTCCCTTTTAAGAAGAAAAGCACTAAATGTCACGTTGAAAATGAACTCCTTTGAAGCCTCACAGTAAACAAACAAAGCTTTATTATTTATTCCCTTTCATGACAAAAACAGGGCTTGGACAACAGACTGGACCCCTGGGTTCACCCCCACATTAAGCAAAGTAGCCCCAGAGAAAAATGGCGCAGCTAACACAGACGATGAGGTTGATGTCCAGAAGGGTTTTTACAAGGGGGTTTTCTTCCAAGGAAACTATGACCGGTTCCACTGTGCTTGGGGGCTCCTTGCCCAGGCTCTCCATTCCACAGAGCCACAAGATGGCTCGCATCACTTTGGACTGCTTTGGGGTCGTGTCACCTAAAAGAATCCAAATGAAGGTCAGAAGGGGGCAGAGGGGCCGACCAGCTGTGTTACGTGCCCAGTGAGAAATATTTTCCATACCTTTTCTGGGAAGCATTCATGAGTACCTTAATCTGGAAGAGTGGTATTCTCAGACTTGTCATCATTTTCAGCTGAAAAGACGGAGCCTCATTTGACTAACTTGGGTGAAGCCCCGCAGCTGGTAAGCGGTAGCAGAGATGGGTTTAGAAGCCACATCTGTCTGATTTCCTCCTCTCTATCACACTGTCTGCCAGGAGGCCCAAGGCAGGGAAGGGCACTCTTGTGGGAAACTATTGCCCCATTTAGAGCTGGGGCTGCAAGCGCCACGGCCTTTACGGCCAGTCACATGGTCAGGGCAAAATACTTTGCTTATTAAACTTGTCAAAATATGAACCAGAAAGGATTCTCTCATTTTTCCTGAAACACATGGCCTTCTGGATCTATCCTTGGATTTCCATCATTAGGTTGACATGGATTCATAGCCACAGAATGTTTGTTTGTACATGTATATTGACAGATGTAAAAGGCCACATGTGATGGTAAATGACAGCCCACGGCTGCAGGGTCATGGCGCAATAGGGATGGGTGGGGACCTTGGCTCACTGAAGGGCACAGCCCAGTCTGAGGGGCCGGCTTTCCAAGCTCTGGACAGCGTTAGTCATGCAGACATGGGGGCGCAGAGTTGTTACATCTTCCCATGTTTCAAAAGGAGATGGAAATCTGGCATTTTATGTGAAATCTCCCAAGTTTTCAATGTCAGCTCACCTTTTATTGAAATGGTAGGTGGACTACACCACAGTATGTCTACAGGCTGCCAGTGTGAAACCAGCAATTTAGAGAAAGCCAATAGCATTCCAGCCTGCCTGGCGGGATCTCATGGGGACTAAGGGAGCCATGTTGTAGCAAGCCACTCAACACCCACTTACTGTTACTGTTCTCCACTGAGCTTCTGTTGAAAGTTAGAACAGACACAGGGAGTCAGGGGATGCTCACATTCCAAGTACACCCCTCTTCTGGCTTGTGATTTGGTAGAAATATCTCCCCTTAAACACCTAATGCTTCTTGGGTTTCCACTGTAACCGAGGAGAGGCAACTCACAGCTGTGGGGTTTGGATATGCTTTCTTGAACAATCTCCAACTGGCTGTTTGTGATGCTGGCCTCTGGTGTCCCATTCTGAGAGATAGTAAGAGGCCGGGGAGTTGCTGGTGGCACCTGTTCCTTCTGGACCACGGGGTCATGACGAGTAAACCAGGTCAGGCGGCTTACCTAAGGAGCAAAGATGGATCAGATTAGGGTCCCCTGCTCCACCCCATGTTGGGCCTCACATGTGAGAATGCCCGCCGTGTTACTGTACCTCCAACAAGCTCCAGCTCCCTGCGCTCTGCACCAGTCAGTGGACATTTCCCCCACGAAATGGACATTTCCCTGGCTTGCTTTCTTCAGCAGCGCTAATTCTGTTGGGATCTCACCCTCCTTCATTCTGGCCCCCCAGAGCTTAACCCTAGCCTGGGGCTTTTGGTGGACCCCCCACCCCTCCATCGTGCATTTCTCTAGCCATGGAGACTGAACTGGTTCATGGGTAAACATGTGTCGAGCTAACTGCATCAGTGGGAATCGGGAACCCTGCTGGAAATGCTGGGACAAGTGTGTTTCTGCTTTTGCTTGATGGGTATAAGAAAAGATAAAATCCCTGGAAACTGCCAGTCCCGCATGGCACCTGAAAATTGAGGCAGAAATGAAGGATGGATTTGGATGGTCCTCCGTCCCAAATCAAGCTGTCCCTTAAAGCCCAGTCTTGGATATTCCAGCTTCTTGAACAATCAAACCCTCTTCATTGAGGCCAGTTTGGGTCAGTTTTCTGTCACTTGCAGCCAAGGGTCTCAGTGGTTATACAGTATCAAACCCAAACGTACCATCTCCTTGGAGGGTGACTCTGTGAACCAGCTCACAATGGACACGGTGATCAGAGTCACTGCAGACAGAACCATGGAGAAATAGAGGTAGTGGACATCCTTCACCACAGCGGGGCGATCATCTGGCTGGTCACACCGAGGCTGCGGGTAAATGAAGTCCAGGACCAGCCGAATCAAGCCTAGGAGAAGGCCCAAGATCAGACCTGAGAAGGCCCCCTGCAAATCAGAGCAAGGCCATCTTAGAGACATCCAGGGTTACAGGGCAGCCAGCCTGGGCCTCTGCAGACCTCGACAAGCCATTTCCAGGAGTTTGCCTTTCTAGGGATGGTTGATGTAGGGGTCAGTAATTTAAAAAGGATTGGACCTCCTTATCTGTTTATCTTTCACACACAACTAATTATTCATGTGTAATATACTCATTCCTTGTAAATTTAGCTTCCCTGTTTCATGACACAATGCATCCAAACAGAACCCCCGTGGTTGCTCTTCAAAGGCCAGCTGGCCCCCTTCCCACACCTCCATCCCCAGAACTCATCCTCTGGAACACCACCCATGTCATTAAGACATCCTCATGGGCGGTGCTTATCCAGAGCTACCTTTTCATTGGTCCGTTTCCAGAAACATCCCATGATGAAGACCACGGCCACGGGCGGCTGCAGGTAAGAGCTAATGGACTGGATGTAAATGAAGAGCTGGCCTCCCTGGCTGGCCTGGACTATGGGGATCCAGAGGATGGAGACCAGCACCAGCAGCAATACAAACACCCTAGTGCCAGGTGGAGAGAGCGCCTCGTTAGCATATCGCCCCCGGAAATACTTCCTGCTCTCTCTCTCTCTTTACAGCTTTATTGAGGTAGAATTTACATACCACGAGATTCACCTATTCTAAGAGTAGAATCCCATAACTCCAGGCAACACAATCAGGTTTGACATCCGTTATTCCAAACAAGTTCCTTTGCTTCCATTTACAATTTATCCCTTATCTACTCCTGTTTCTATGGGTTTGCCTTTTCTGGACATTTCATAGAAACAGGATTCAACAACATATGGTCTTTGGCAGCCGGTTTCCTCCACATGGCGTGCTTTTGGGGTTCATCCACACATCATACGTAATCACGTAATCACGTAATCACATAATCACGGTATGTCATTCGTTCCTATTGTTGAAAAACACTACATTGAATGGATCTACCATGACACGCCACTGTTTTATCCTGCAGTG